AAACAATTTTTTTTATTGTGGAGTAGAAATAGGACAAATTCATGTAAAATAGTTGTGGTTACAAAGTAAAAAGTTTATACCAAACATGGAGAGAAAGAATATTAATGATAGTAAAGAAAGAAAAGACATTATAATAGAAGGATGTTTAAGAAAGAAAGAAACATAGTATAACTCGTATAACTCAAACCTCCTTATTCTTCTTCTTTCCCTCGCGCAACTCATGATCTAAGAGGTATGTGACTGCATCTTGAAATTTACCTGCAGGCACTTGCTTATTCTTCAACCACTCTCGGCAAGCGACAGCCTGTGAGACGGTTGAAGGCTTCATTGAGCCTCGACTTGAGATGGCGATGTCGGCCGCCGAAGAGAACGTGCGCTCCACCGCGCACGAAGTGGCAGGGAGGGCCAGGTAATCCCGAGCCATGGTGGCCAAGACTGGGAAGTTCTTCTCGTTTGCCTAGATCACCTCACCTTGATATCAGTAAAGAGTAAAGAAAATGACAAAAATAAAAGGGAAAGCAGTACTTACTGCCCACCAGTCAAGAGGACTGGTACCTTTGCCAATGGGATGGGCACCCTCCAAATAGCGCTTCAGCTCGAGTTGGTAGTCCAGAGGAGCCTCATTTGCCGGTGCAGCTGGAAACAAGTTGTCTTCTTCATCTTCACTAACATCCGCTGGGTTCGAAATAACTTCCACTGAAACAGCTCAAGGTTTGGGCATACTGTCAGAGTAAGCAGAAAACATATACTCCAACGAGCTTTCCGCTTGAACTTCAACGTTGGAGTAAAACTTCTTGATATAATTCAACCGATGTCGTGGGTTGAGAATGGTCGCGATCTGGACAACCTGGCTTTTGGCAGCCTCCTCGGCGTAATGTTGGAGGTGCTTGAGCATCTCGGTGATCATGACATCGAGGCTGGGGTATGTGCTGTCCTTCTTGAGTACCTGAAACTCACTCTGAACCTTGCGATATTCAGAAAGGACTTTGCATCCGGATGCAAAGTCTCCTTCCATCCGTTTCGTGGCACGCTCGAACACCTGTTTGAAGTGAAGGTCAATCAAAATGGTTCACTGGGACAAAGACCAAAATAACTCACCTCAAGGACATTGTTTACCTCACGCACTGCATTCCACTCTTCCTCGGAGATGGTCAATCCTCGGAAGAATCGATTGGTTTTGGAATTGGTGTGTAGCATCCCGTTTATAATCTATAAGAACAGAAGTGTAAGAGTAACTTCCAAAAGTAGACAGATGTCAAGAGTGTAACTAACCTCATGTCCAGCCGCTGCACGCCTTCAGCTATCGGCCTTGGCATTCCACCGGACACCCCATCCGTGAATGATACTCTTGAGACCTTGAGCTTTGGCGCGTGTGTTGAACCACTGTCGACGTGATGAACTTGAACAGATCAATGATACGACCTTGTCGCACTGGAAATTAGAAGATAAATTTAGTTTCTTATACTGTTCAGGTTAAGACAGTAGTGTGATGAGATAATCACCTTCAGTAGAGCCCGTTTAACCAGCTCGGTCGTGTCGACTGGTTCCTGTGGTGCTGAATCGTCATCTTCACCATCAGGATCGCCATTTGTTGGTGTTAAACCTGCATCATCCTCATCAGATGATGAGGGTACATCAATGTCATCGTCACCAGTATTGAGGACAATAGTGGGAACTGGGATTGTTGCTCCTGGTCGAGTTGTGGGCTTCACATGACCTACTGAGATGTTCATCGTCTTGAGGCCATGTTTTACCACAAGTGCGAGCTTATGACAGTAGCAACGGACATGATTCAATGCGGAATCCCAGTAAACGGAATCGTTGGTGTTCTTGAACATCTTCTCGAGTTCTTCGGCCATAGTATTGTTGTTGGAGCCTGAATCCGTGGTTTGTGCCAATACCTAGAGGAGAGCATTAATGAGAAAGATGTTATGATTGTTCAGAAAATGCAAAAGTATGGAAAAAGGTGACAAACAAGACATACCTTCTTGTGAAGTCCATGTTTAATCAGAAACTTACCAACTGGTCTGGCAAGAAGAGCGCCACAGTGGTGCCAAGTTGCCAACTTCAAAGTGAGATGGCTCGTTTGGTACTTCCAGTTTGAATCAATCCAAGTGGCGGTGACCCCAATGAAAGCAAGTCGGTTCCCTTTAGTTGTCCATCCGTCATGTACAAGACATATCTTACTTTGGTTATCCTGCAGCGAAACAAATGAAGGGACAAAAGGTACAATTAGATACCAGATGATGTCATGAAATCGAAGATGAAACCTATCAAACCTTGATGTTGCTGATTAGCTGCTCATATAAAGAGCTATACAACTCTTTCGCGGTAGAGGCTGCCCAAGTTGGGCTCCTGATGTCGGCCTTGGGATGGGTGAGATGGAAAGCTGCCCTGAGAGTCGGGTCTTGAAATCGAACCCATGGGAGGGCATGTCTTAATAGCCAGATGACTAATAAGACATTGAGGATATCAATATCGAACGGTGGTCGGTTGACAAAGCTTTTCATCAATTCAGCCAATGATGATTCGGTTGCACTGGTCTTGTTTCGTTCTTGGTATGTAGGAGGAAGACCATGATCTTTCTCCTTCATCGCTTTGCTTCGTCCCAGACATGGAGCCCGATTTTTGTCGCCGTCTTGATGGCCATATAGGTTGCTGTTCCCATCAATACCCCGAGCACATGTCTCAGGACAAAACCTGCACTCGTATCCGCGTAATACACCGATTGGCTGTTATAAAAATGTTGGTGAGTTCAAATCAAACTGAGGTAATTATAAGTATCGAAACAAGCTTACATCTTGTTTGAGCTGGACCGGAATGGGTTTGTAATACGACAAAAGATGCATAACTCTTTTGGATTGAGCTCGGAAGGCCTTTGCAGGAGGCGCCGTGGGGCTTACTTGATCAACATCAATCTCTTTAGGGACAGTAAAGTCCTGAGAAAGAATGGAGAACGGAGGAATATGTGAAATTAACAGGAAATAAAACATTGATCTAGGCAAAGGTACTTACAGTTACTGTTGACCGAGTACCTTTGCCTTTGCCTTTGGCAGCAATCTTTCGAGGCTTT